ATGTATTTACAGGAATTGAGTAGAATTCACTAAAACATCTTCCAAAATGATGTGACTGATTATTCCAAGTTTAAAGCAAGAGGAAAACTGCTGTACTCTTTAGGTGCCCTTATCCCAGCTGCCTGCCCAGCTGGTAATTTCAAGTGCCTCCTATAAATCTGGCCGCCCAGTTTCAATTCCCTAAAGTCGCTCTGGTGCCTACAAAAGGAAATCTACATATGAAGCAGAGGATAAATGGCACTGTTTGGTCTGTGGCCCACTAAGGGCAGCCCCAAATTCAGCCCTCCTTTGAGGAGAACCCCTTCACTGACTTCCCAGTGCAGATGGTGCTGTGCAGTTTGTCCCTGACACGTGGCTTGTCCTCTGTCCTGGCCAGGGCAGGAAAGGCCTCACTGCTTTTCTTAAAGTTAAGCTGGCACTTGGGACAGTCACAGGGGGGTTGGTAACTTACTTTGTTCATCAACTGCCCATATGGGAGCTGGTGACAGGGTTTTCCATGTTTTTGCTTCATGGAGATTGTGTCCAATGGAGGAGCTGAGAGACAAGAGACAAGTTCACATCAGTGAACTTGTTTGCATAGGTTTACTTCTGTGTTTTCAAAACTGGTGCAAATCCAAGGCTAAACCTTGTGTACCAGATTTACAATTAGTAACAAGAATTTTTTTAACTTTTATTTTTTGGTTGATATTTAAGCGTAGTTACATTTCTTGACACTCAGCCACCCAAGGCATAGATTAGCAACAGCACCAATGCTAGCTAAATTAACACATCCAGTAACTTTCTTATCCTTTGCTAAAGGGGTGAAATTTTTAAGCTTGCACACTGTGACACCAATGTAACCTTTAGGCTATAACTTGTTTTTATTTCCTTTTCTTCTTCCCTTGTCCCTTTGCAAGAAGCCCATGCTACTTCTGTGCCCAGAGTGAGGCTGCTGTTGCAGGGAGAGAGCTGTGGGCTACAGCAGCTCCTGGATTTTAGCTGAGGTGGGGAACTGCTTGGTTAACCCACTGAAATACCTCAATTTGAAGGTTTTTCTGCCTAGAAAGCTTACTGTCCACAGGGATGAGACTGGCAAGTAGTTAATAACACAAAGCACTGTATTTATTGCTCCACGTACAGATTCAGAGAGCATCATTTGTATTGCCTGCCTTCAGTCATCTGACTGATGCCCCAGGTGACCCTTGTGAAGAGAGCTCCTGCTACCAGTCTCCTGTGACTAAGTCCTTTCAGCTCATGGAGGACAGAATAAGCTTCCTAAATTAGAAGTCAGAGAGTTATTCCAGCAGAGTTCAGTCCACCTGTCTCTGGTAGGATGGCAGTAGTTGTGTGACTCCTCATGGCCTGAAGGCACACTCCCTCTCTCACTCTGTGTGTGTATATATGCACATGTATGTCACTGAGTATTTGCTGACACCAGTAGCTCAGCATGCACAGTGCTCATCACCACCCAGTGCTTTAGTTACAAAACCAGACAATTGGCTTTGACCATAATGTATTTCATTTACGAGCAGGAAAGGATGGCTATAGCACCTAATCTCCCTTTCTCTATATTGCAGACTTGGTCTGTCTGTATGAAACAGAGTAACTTTTGTATCACTGCATGATATCTTGTGTTTTCACAAAAATTCATCTTCTGGGGAAGTTCCACTAAATCTTGGCATCAACAAATGGAGAATCTCTGCATTCCCCTTTGGATAGTTGCACAAATGGCTAGTCATGGGTGATGGAAAGCATGTGCTTTATTTCTCATTTGAATTTCTTGTCAGCTTCCAGATGCTGATTTGTTTTATGCAAACTCTTTGCTAGATTAACAGGCCAGTTGGTACTTTGTATATTCTCCCAATGAAAATACTTAGGTGCTGTAATTAGGTCCCCTGTCTTTCTTTTTTTTATTATTATTTTTTTGTAATAAACTGTACCAGTGGAACTCCCCAGATATTTAATATTAAAGTACTTTCTACACTGTTCTCATCACTTTTTCAGCTGTATTTTGTGATCTCTGATGATGGATTATTTTTCAATTCCTTTGTAAATTATAAAGACCTTATCCTACTATGAATATTTATGGGATGTAATGCTAATAGTACAAATGGAAGTTTAAAAGAAGATTTTTGTCTTGCCTACTGTTTATTTCAAAGTTCATATTAGTATTTACTTCTGTATGAAGTCAGATTTGAAGAAATTCTTGCTGAGTAAAACATTATGGGTAGGGCCATATGATACCATATGATTTTTGCAGTCATCAATACGTGGATGCTCTCACTGCTTCATAAGGGAAATATATGGAACTTTTAAGCTTCACTGACACTTATAGGTGATAAAATTATAATAATCATATCTTTTTGCCACTAAAATGTCTCTTTCACTTTACTTTTCTCTTTTTCAGTAGAGAGCTAGTATTTTCCAAAAAGTTGTCTTGCAAGGTAACCAAAGCTGGTCTTACCAGGGGATGTGATTAGCTCTTCCAGCCTGTGTTAGCAGTGCTGCCTCCCGCCTCTGTAGCATTGTGGCAAGATGAATAGCCTTTAAATGATCCTGTCACTGATGGAAACCACCAGTGATCCAGTTTAAAAGATTGGTAAACAGAACAAATGAAAACATGAGCCAACCAGTCTATGAGGATAATTATGACAGAGAGCATTAATAGAATTTCTTCAATAACCCTGATTCATCCACAGTGTTACAGTAGGAGTATCTGGTATTCTACAGTGATCTTTAAACTCCATGAATCTTGCAGAAGCCTTCATTCCAGATGAGCTAGTCATTTCCCTGGTATTTGACATGAGAGCAGCCTCACTATGTATTAGTTACTGTTGTATAGCATAATGTAAGGGTATTAAATAGAGATAATTTTAGTATAATAATACTCTTAACAGCTTTCCCATGAGACATGAGAAATCCTCTAATTGTTGCTTGGATTTTCAGTTTTTATATTTACACACAGTTATGCTTCTTGAGTACATTGTATTTTGCATAAACATAACATTCTCCACAGGAAAAGAGATGGGAGACAAGTTGTTGATGCTGCAGCCCTGGCAGTGTTCAAGACCAGGTTGGATGGGGCTTTGGGCAACCTGGTCTAGTGGGAGATGTCCCTGCCCATGGCAGGAGGGTTGGAACAAGATAACCTTTAAATATCTTTAAACCTCAACCAGTCAATGATTCTATAATTTAAAAAAAAAAAAAAAAAAAAAAAAAAAAAAAAAGAGATTAGATGGAGAGACAAGAATAGTCAACTCAGAATTCCATCTGAGAATTAGACAGGTAATTAGATATGTAGCCACATAGATGAAGATTTATATGCATTCAGTAGACTCAGAAAAGCTGTGGATGTCCAGCTGATGTATTGCTAATAGTTTGTGATGCTTCAGTAGGCAAGTGTTGTCCCTTGCGTAGTCATTCACCTCTGATTAGGATAGATGTAACTCTTTCTGAAGTGAGTAGTTGTATTTGGTTAGATGGTGTATTTATGTCACAATGAAGTAAATGAGAACATGTTGTAGTACTGCAGACTGAGAATTAGAACTGGACTTCTGAAAGCTTTTCCTGATGCTGTGTTTAAATATGTTACCTGTTAAATTGATTCTATAATAAAATGATACTTAATGTATAGCTGTTGTGGTTTAACTTTAGTTGGTCACTAAGTACCACACAGCCACTCCCTCCAACCTCCTACTCACCCCAGTGGGATGGGAGAAGAATAAGAAAAAAATAAAACCATGTGCTGAGATGAGTTTAATAATGGAAATAAGTAATTTGTTAGCAAAATATAATGCTAATTATAATTATTAATAAAGATAATAATGATTAGAAGGAAGATAACAAACCGAGAGAGAAATAAAGCCCCCAGAGGACAAGTGGTGCGCAGTACAATTGCTCACCGCCTGCTGAAGGATGCTCGGCCCAGCCCCGAGCAGTAAACAGCCCCTCCCAGCTACCTCCCCCCAGTTCATACACTGGGTGTGACATTGTATGGCATGGATGGGCCAGACCATGACAGCTGTCCCAGCCATGCTCCCACTGCCTTCTTGTGCATCTGCTCACTGGCAGAGCAGAAAACTGAAAATCCCTGACTCACCAACAGCTAAAACATCACACTCTGTTACTAACATTATTCTCATACGGAATCTAAAACACGGCACTGTGTCAGCTGCAAGGAAGAAAATGAACAGACAAATCCAGGACAATAGTTCTAAAAGCTGTCAGACATTCATGTGGAAGAGGATAATTAATTTTAAAAGTCTCCAATGACTATCTCATTTCACTTTACAGCATTTAATTATTAAATTATGTAGACAAAAATTGAGCATAAGACATAAGGCTTGAAACTGAAGAATTAAGAAACTAGCCAATACACATGGTGGTCGAATGGCAAAAGCAGTAAGAAATAAGGCTTTACTCATCATGCTTGTTCGCAGGCTTGGAAAAGTCTCCAAATAGGTTTATTATTGCAGAATGCCAGCCTGTCTTGTGTGTTTGATTTTCATAAATGCTTGCCTTCAGCATTGCCCCAAAAACATTCAAGAAGGTGACTTCTTTTGCCTAGTTATTTCTGGCACAGGGGTGGTGCTCAATCAGTTTCCCACTGGAGGCTTTCTGAGGGAGCACTTCTGTGTGTCCCACCGTTCTGAGGCAGCGCACTGCCGGTACAGTCCTGTGCTCAGCGGTGGTTCTGGGTGAATTGCTTGCTGTTGTTATACTTGACCAGAGAGGCTGGAAATTGTTGAGTCAAACTCATAGTATATTAGAATCCTTCCAAGCTCCTGAAAAAGTGCATGGCTTTGCAAAGTTATCAAATGCTGTGTGTCACTGGGGATTGCCCTCACCTCTCTGATTTTTTTGGTGATGTGTGTTGGGTTTTTTCCCCTTACAGTTTAACTAAAGCTCCTAATCTGGGAGCTCAGACCTTGATGAATGCCAAAATCAAAAGGAGTGGAGTGCTTGTGTTTTGTTGAGGTGCTGGATGCTGGTTTGACAGGTGCCTGTGTCTCTCTTTGCAGCCCCCTCAGCTGTCAGATGCGGTGATCTCCATGGTAACTCAAACCCCCAGACTCTTGACAGCAGCCTGCGAGGAGCAGCATTCAGCAGCTCAGGGGTCTCACGACCAGGTAAGCTGAAAGGAATCACCACATAAGAGCTCACCTCCGGTGTGCCACTTCCTGTCCTGTCAGGTTTTTCCTTGGTGAAGTCACCCAGTCAGGTCCTGTGCACATACGTGATGATGGGTTCCTACCAGTGCTGGCACTTAAGGCTGTGGCAGTCCAGCTCTCTTGAACAGAGGCATTTGACAAAAAGTCTGTGTTCGTTTGTTCAGGGTTGATTTTTAAGATACAGATTGAAGAAGCAAAACAAAGAAGTACTGTACAATTCTTTAAGTTCTTAAGGCTTTGGTCTTAAGTAATCGCTATGGTAGGAAATAACCCCAAAACATGTCAGCAGTACCTACACCACCATCAGTACTGCCCGAGCTCTAACTTCAGGCCTGAGCAATCTTATTCTCCTGCAGTGGATCAGAGACAGCTTCTGTGTTCATGTAACATTCATTGGTTCTCTGCTGCACTTTCAAATTGCTGCTGTGCTCTTTCCACATGAGTTTCTGTGCTAATAGCAGCATGTGGAGTGTTCTGGTTAACATCTTAAGAAGGTACAGAATTCCTCCTCTTTTTTTGTGAATAATGGAGAAAGAACAAGATCTTTGCTGTTTTGGGAACTGTTTTGCAGGGACTATATAGCTATATTCACTCTTCCAGTACAACTACTGCTGTAGACTAAGGTATTATCTCTGGTCTTACACACTTACATGTGTGGGAAGCTTATTACTCCCTTTTGTTGTCAGGCTTCACTGTCATTTATATTGAATTGTTTCTATGCCATTAAGATTGTATGTACTTTTTAAGTCCATGGCTTCTTTGCACTGCTTTTTGGGTATTACCTGCATTGTTTCTTGTTTGCTACACAAGTCCACTTGGCTGTAAGACTGTTCCGATCGTACAAAGAAATCCATATTATTCTGGATAACAATTCCACTATCTTTACTGACCAGTTTGACAGTTTTTGTGCCATTACTACTGTCAACAGTATTTACTTTTGTGTTATTGATGATAGTCTTAAATAGTGTCGAGTGACTACTGGATGATTTTATTGGAGAAATGTAGAGCACTTTTTCAATTATTATTTCCTGTTAACAGCTACTTTTTCATATGTTTATCTTAATCACATTTGATGATACTGATAATAATTTCTTACTGTGAGTTTTGTGTGGCTGTAAGGTGAATGCCATCCAAAAGTCTGTTTCATTTATGGAATAATGTCTGCTGATCAGAGTTTGTAACTTTATCAGATGATTGAATAAATTCTCTATTTTATTTAGCAAGCTTCTGTAAAATGGTGTTGACTGGCATTAGTTTTGTTCATGTAATTTCCCAGTGAATTTCTCCTTTATAAATTTGGTGGTTATTTTGCCTTAGATTAGTAATGGCATAGAGCTGTGTAATTACTGAGATCATTCTGCTTACCATCCTCAACTATTAGCAGAAAATGCTAGCAGTCTTACTGAATTTCTCTGGTGCTCCAAAATGTATTGAAAATTAGCATCATTGAAATGATCCTCTCACAAACACTTTTAAGACTCTTAAGGCACAAATTACTGCAGCGTACTAATTTAAAGTTATCTTTTAACATTTGTTTTGGTTACTAACAGCCTCCTTATCTCTAAAAATGCTTTTCTTCTACTTAGAAGAAAGTATATGTTGCTTGTTTGGGGTTTTTTGTGTAGCGTGTTTGTATTAGTTTAAACCATGAATCCCAAGTTGGAGGTCTTGTGCTGTTTCAGTTTGCCAGCTTTTCCTATAAGAATTAATTTCAATGGGTTTTCAAGTGTAATCTATACTTCAAGCTGACTACACCCTTAACCCAGAACAGGAGTATAATTTTTTTGCCAAAGGTTGCCTTTTTTGGGCTGTTTAATCAATACCTTTGGTCACTGGTGGCAGTGGAGTAGGGAGAGCTCTCCACATTTTCACCTTTGTATTTTCTCCCAACTGCAGACTTTTTCCCCTGTTTACCAGGCTAATGAACTTTTTTTAACTTGCTTGCTATTAACTAAACTGTTTCAAATACCAAAATGATAATTACAGTCTGGGCCTGTGCACTCAATATGTATTGTAGCAATAAAATTTGGGAGTCCCTGATGAGTTACTACTGACTGCATGGCATTTCTAGCTTACTTCTCTCAGATGAATGTCCTTCACAGTTCTTGTCATGTTTCACAAATACATATTTAAGCAGATAATCCAGTTCTCTGATACAGTTTGGTGGTTTGCTTTATCTGAAATTGTCAACAGTATATCCTTCTGGGATCTGCTAGCATGTTACCTGTATGAATTCAAGACCTTGACATCCTGAATTATCAGTAATTTTGAGGAATAATAGTACTAATAATGTAGAGTACCATCTTCTATACCCTTTGGCTCTTAGTGGAGGTGTCCCCAGCATTTAGAATGATAACTGTTGTTGGCATGATAGGTGTGACAATTGGTAAAAGGTCAGCTTTATCAGAATCACGTGGGATATGTTGTATGAATGCACAGGGAATAACAGTAGTTTCACTAAAAAACTTGTAAAAAGCAAGATAAATCAAAGAGATGAGATGAAATTAGATGTCAAAAAATGAAAGGTTGGGGAAGTTCAGTTTGAAAAAGTAGGAAAAGTAAGGTATGCACATGATACCTAGGAAGAAACAGGTCGCCTTTTCCTAGTTTTATGTTTTTTGTGTGAATTAGTTACTTTGAATTTAAGAGCAAGATGGATAGGATGTAGTGGAAGGTACTTCAAATGTATCAGTATATCAACAGATTGCTGTTGTTCAAAGAGCTTGGAAAAAGTGCAGTTTAGGAATGTCACAAATGAAATGTGGTAGTGCAAATTGTGACTGTTGGTAGAAGTGCAGAGGCATAGATTAATATAAGAAAATGTTCATTATTTTTTTTAAAGTTTCCAGAACATTATTTTTTTCAGAAACATTCATTTGGTGATTGAGAAGAATGTTCTATTATCCATAAGTCAGCACTGACATACTTTATTTTGAGGAAATACATATCTTCTTTTTGCATAAGAACACTGCATTTTATAGAAAGAAATTAAGAGAAACTTAATAAACAAAAAGTTTGCTTGCAAATACATGATACAGAAAAGTACCATAATACCCCCATGCATATTGTACTGTAGCAATTTTTATTATTTTTTTTTACAGTTACTAATTTTTAAATTTTTAAAAAATTTATTTAGAACTTTGTAAGTGACATTTCACAGGCATAGGGTACAGAGACTTTTTCTGTATGTTAACTGAAGTTTCTGTTTGCTCCCACCTAATAATTTTACTGGTCAGTTAGATTTATGGACTAGAAAATCAAATTGCTTTTAAACAATATCCTTTATAATTCTGAGGTTTAATTAATAAGCTACTGATTTTGTTTTCTAACATTGTTTTCCAAGTCTTGCCATCATAAAATGTTGCACCTGTGGGTGTGTGCATGAAATATTCATAGAGTCATTCTTAAAAGTCTAATGGCATCATAACTGTTCACTGAAAAATAGTTAACTGTTGTAATAATATTTTTTAAATAAGCATATTCTAAAATAACATTAATATTATTTAAATTTGCAGCTGTTCCAAGGCTAAAGTAGAGCTTTATTTGTGTATTCCCTGGTATTTCTCTTGCTATTTGGTGAATCATGGTTAACTGAACTCTGATTTTATTAATGAAATACTAATTAGTACTTTCTGGACTATCAACCAAGCCAGAAAAAAAAATGTATATAGCTAGAACATGGACCTATGTATTTTACATTGTGGTAGAGAGATGAAACTACTATTCCAGTCATGGCTAACTTCTGAAATACTTGCTTTGAGCCTTTCTCTTACACAGTACAGTTTTAAACTACTGCTAGTGGAATAAAAATTATTGTGTTGCCTTTTTTTAAAATCCCTTGTTTGTAACATAGCTAAGATTTCAAGGAAGGTTTTGGTGATGGTAAAGGGGATGCTACCATTCCAAAATGAGGTGGCAAAATGCCTATTCCTTTGATTTTTAAACTAAGCTGGTGATTATTTAAGGCATAGCTCAGACCTTGTAGGACTGAGCAGTGATAATCCCATACTTCACTGTTTTATTTGTAGAGCACATTATGATACCACATTTGCTGTGCCAGTCACTTGAAAGTGCATAAGAGATATGCAAAGTGGGAAAAGGCAAATTTTGTTGTAGTCATTAATAAGTATGTATTTAGTTCAGCAGGAGTGCCAGCTGCAGTGAAAGGTTCATACCTTCATGAGCAAACACTGTGCCACAAGGAGGGGTAGGTGGAACTCTGCCTTGCCCAAAACTGCTCTTCTGAGTTTGCCCAGCAAAGGCTTCACACAGGTGAATAGTGCTTTTTCATCCACCCAAAGTCTGCTTAACTTGTCTGGGCAGAACTGCAGAAATCTGCCCGGGTCAGTGAATTCAGCTTAGGCTGCAGCACTCTTGGGAAGCTCAGGTATTTATTTCTTTGGACAGGTACTGTGCACACACTGTGTGTGTAGCACATCCCAGAGCCACAGTGCCTTCTGCATACTGCCTGGAATGAGGGACTCTGTATGTGCAGTAAATCAGCTGCTTCCTAAACAGAGACAGGACAGTTTTCCTCTGAAGACAAATAGGATTTTCTGCTTTTTAAAGGTTGATTCAAGAAAAGCTTTTATTTTAAACTGAATTCTTTCACCACATCATGGTGTAGAAATGGAATTACTACAGGCAGTCTAGTTAAACATGCTCCTGAATAATTTGAATGTCTCATGCAGCCATCCCACACAAAAGCAGGATGGGTAATATAATTGTTTTTTCAGTAAGTTGTTAATTAAGCCTTGGAGATGTACAGGATCTGTATTTCCATTTATATTTTTGTATGACCTCGTCATCTGGACTGCTTTGATTTAATGGAAGATGAATATAATTGATGGGTAAATATACTGCTATATAGAAAGTACATGCTAAAAAATTAGACCAAATACACAGATTAGCATCAGTTAATTTCAGAAGAAATTCCATCTTCAAGCAACCGGTAAAAA